TAACTGCAGTTCTAATTTAAAGTTTTTAGCAATAATAATAAATAAAGTCTTATCAAAAATAGTATAATTCCTATAATAACCTTTTAGCGACACTGGATACGGAAGCAATAATTTAATTACTAGTAAAATTTTACCAGCAATAAGAATTGCCACTAATGTATATTATAATTGGCACTAAAAATATTATTTTTGTTATAGTGAGAAGATTTTCTCACAGTCCATTCCAAATCTCTTAGGTCACCATCTCTCCATCTGTTCTAAACTTTCACTTGTAGGTCCACTTGCAACCAATAGGCTTTACATCCACCGGTGGATCCACCAAGGTCCATACTTTGTTAGAGTACATGGAATTCATTTCAGATTTCATGGTTTCTTGCCACTTTCTCGAATCGATATCTTGCATCGCATTCTCATATGAATTTGGATCTCTATCCAATCATGTACAAGAGTATACCTCTCAGAAGGTCTTGAGATCCTTTTTAGATCTTCTTAGAGGTTTTATGATAGAAGATTATATTTGATATTGTGTACTTCACAGTTTGTGGTATCTCTTGAACTTCTTCAAATTCTACAAACTTATCGTTTTTATTTAAAATGAATTACTTTTCTAAGAAAATGGCATTTTTTGAAATGAACATTTTTTATTCCTTTGGGTCATAGAAGTAATATCATATTGTCTCATTATGATATCCCACAAATTTACATAAGGTAAATCTCATATCCAACTCGTTACCTCCTAATGTTTTTAGATAAACAAGAACATCCCCACACTCTCATGTAAAAATAAAGGGTGGTTCACCATACCACATCTCATGTGTGGGTTTTGGCACCGACTTTGATATTACTTTATTTAAAATCTTCGTAACCATTTCTAAAGCATATCCCCAAAATGAAGGAGGAAGATTGGTGAAACTCATCATAGAACAAACCATATTTAATAAGATATGATACCTACGATCAACTACCCCATTAAGTTGAGGGTGTGTGAGGTGGAGTCTACCGAGAGAAAATCTCATTCCTTTTTAAATGATCAAAGAAATCATCACTTAAGTATTCGCATCTTTATCGGATCATAAGACTTTTATATTGTGTCATGTTTGTTTCTCTACTTCAAGTCTAAATTCTTTTAACTTTTCAAAAATTTCAGACTTGTGTCTCATTAGATACCCATACCAAAAATGACTATAATCACCAGTAAAAGTAATGAAGTAAGAACGGTTCCTTTTGTATTAACACTTAGTGGCACACACACATCTAAATTGATCGAATTCAAGAGATGTGTAGCATGCTCCAATTGTCCTACAAAAGATGACTTAGTCATTTTACCCTTTAAATATGATTCACATGTGAGCATCTCCTCAAGATCATCCACTTAAATTAACATCGAAGTAACTATTCTATGAAATCATATTATTAGAAATATGCCCAATTCTAGCATGTCACAGTTGTACATTATTTTGATTATTTTGTTTTCCTTTGTTTCCTTATTGTATATTTAAAATAGATTCATTTTGAACAATCGTATACAAACTATTTGATAATGTGTCAAGATTATGGCAAGAACTATTCATAGACATTATTACACATTTGACGAAGATGACCAATAAATAAAATAATTACATATATATATATATTGAATGAAAAAATTGATCAGAGTATTTAATTACACCATGAAATTGGCTAGCCAAGCACTACTCTGTTAAAATGCTTTTGTATGTTACGTGTACACATTTGTTTATTTCCTTGTATATTTGATGTATATGTACATTCTGCTGTGTCAACTAATATGCCTAGAGTCCAATATCCTCATCATTTCTCTCTTTTCTTTCTTCTTTCTCTTCACTAACATGCCCACTTGGTTCGACTTACCACTTGCTACAAGTTAGTAACCAGTGTCCAACATGATTTTAGGAGTTTTAATAAACTAAGAGTAAACCTTTTTTAGGCACAAGAAGAAATCGAAGAATTGTTTTGAAAATTCTACACGATCCATTTGTTCTTTTTTCTTTCAAATATGATTAGAACTTCATCTTGAGTTCGAATTCTATTCAAAAGTCTACTAGAGATAAGAAATTGTTGAACAAAGAACAATATATTTCTTTTCTCCCTTATAGGCAGTTAAAAAATAAAAAAAATGATTAATATATTCAAAATAATTACGTATTTATAAGTTACTATCTCAATTCATCATATTCTATTAAATCCAGGATGTGATGTAGTTGTCGGTACATATCATGTATACATCTAAGCTGCACACATAAGCCATTGCAGTATTTGGGTGATGATAACCAAGTGGATCCGAGTCGCTAAGAGAAGTGGACTACATGCTGACCGAGGAAGGCTATAAAAAAGAATGCTCTTTGCTGTACAAGACATGAAAAACATAAAGAGCCAACATCAAAAGGCATAACAAGAATGCTTTCGCCATTGCCTGACTGATTAAGGGTTTTTCGTTCTTCAACAGGAAAATGCTATCAAGGTGAAACTTGTGCTTTGTAGGATCGATTGAATTTCTCGGTGCTTACCATGCATATCTCAGGTAGAGTAAAGTACATCGAGCATATGGTTAATAATTGTTGGGTCCAATGGTTTATGCACACAACACATACTCACACGTAGAATAAACACAAACAGAGATAAACACACTGGATAAATAGTGTAAGCAATGGAGTTCAAGAATTTATGAGGAAAATTGAATAGGGAAAACCAGAGGATCAACTTATTGATCTAGGTACTCTCCTACTATAGAAGAAGAATTATAATAGGGAGAGAGGTTACAAGTTTTCTTCTTCTATTTCTCTCGTGGAAGCATGGCTTAATCTATTTCGCTCTTCCTTTCTGTGTCTCTCTGTTTCTCAAACTCTCACTCACTTGTCCCTCTTTTTCTTATTTGCTCAGCTCACTTGATGCATGCATAACCAACACCAACACTCAGGTATTTATAGATCGCTGGGATGGCTATTGATCCTTTCAAAGAGCCAGCTTTGCTCTTCGAGCTGTAGAGGTTACCTAGGCGGTTGACTTCCATAACCAAGATGTCATGTTGGGAGCCAACTTGCATGAGGCACCCCACAGGAATTTCTATTCTAGAATGAAGTTTTATGCTTTCCAATGTTCATGATTATTGGTAGTTGCTCGTTTTCTACAACTGTACGCTCACACATATCGGGAGACAAATGTTCAACTTGCAGAGTGTTATGTATATAGGAGTTCTTACGAGTAGAACATACAGTGAGTCAATTATCTCATTGCATAAATTTGTGTCTTGTTGTTACATCCATAATTCACTACGTGCATCTTGTTTCTAGCATTTGTTACCTCAAAGTGCTCTTTATTGAGGCATATGAACCTTTCCCAAGGAATAGTACACCCTTGAGGAGCATCATTTTACTGGATTTGGAGGAGGCATATGAACCTTTCCAAAAAATATTCTACGGACAAAAACTGTTATTTACGGTGAATTAATGGGAAGGAAGGCGAGGTGGCAAACTTCAAGAAAGTGAAGAAGGATGGAGACGGCTTACAGCAAGGAAGTGGCAGAGAAGGATGGTGACAATGTCATGGAAGAGGAAAGACAGAGAGATGATGAAGGGAGTAGGGCCGGCAACGTGGCACTTTTTCCAAATTATTTGTTAAGAGTTAAATAAGAGGTGAAATGGATGCATTAATAAAACGTGGGACTAATTTGAGATTAATTATAGTGAAGAGACTAAATTACTAAATTAAGATTTTGTGCATGCTCCATGGACTATTTTTGTCGTTGACTCGCGATTATTTGTGTCCAAATCCAACTAGTTTACTCTAGCTCAAATTAATAAAAATTTAAGAGAGATTTAGGGTTCCATTGATAAACTTTCTAAAAATAGAAGTCACTTTGCTTTTGAATAAAATTACGAAAAATATTTTTTACTTTAAAAAGTGCTTTTGATTTTTTAAAAAGTATTCATACCGAATTTTGAAAATGGTTAAAGTTTTGATTTTTTAATTTTTTTCTTTTAAAAATTTATCTAAATGCTCTAAAATATTATAGAAGTCTTTTTTAATAAATATAGAAAATTTGAAAGTGGTTAAGATCCGTTTAGTAAACATTAAAAAGGGTTCTTGAATACCTGTCTTACATTTTTTATACGACGTCGGCTGTTTGGCGCCTGGCATAAATTAGTCTTTCCTAAAGGAAAGTCAACGACATGGCCAGGTGTCCTAAAATTGTTGTCCACCTCCTCAATCAGTTAGTGGTACAGCTAAATATTAGAGTTGTTAGGCAACATGTAGAAACGAATTATAATTTGATGCATCTACCAATTTTTGCCACAGTGCACATGTAATTAACGATAATGCATTAAGTAATACATAAAAAAATGGGCTAAATTATCCACAATCTTCTACTGCAACTCCTAATAACAGAACTTTGGTTCTGGCTGTTTGTGACAAAAATGGGCAACATTGGCAACCAATCACTTTATCAGGCACCACAAACAAGTAGGAGTTAGCCACAAACAATTCCTTATTCTCGACACTAGTTAAAAATACTAGAGAAGTTGGTCACCCACTTAACCAATCCCTTCGTCTCTCATTCCCCTAATTAAGTCCTCCAAAGCCAAACAGACCGCACAATTGACAACTTTTCCACACCTGGACACCCTTTAAAAATTGATTTCAGGATGTTAAATAACTTTCAGGTATACAGATGTAAAGATTACTTCTCGTGGGTAACTTCTTGTGATTTATTTTCAATAATGTATCCAAAAAAATGGAAAACCTTCACAGGGTTTGGAGAAGTCGGTCACCTACACACTGCCTGTCTATGTTTGACTTTGATTCCTCTCCTTCAACTTCCCTATATAAGCCACCTTTCATCTCTCTCCCCTTCAATCAACAATCAGATTCAGAGCTCGTACCTGGCTAGCAAGATTAATCTCTCATTCTACTTCTGAAATATTCTCAATTCAACAACTTAGAAATGGCCAACCAAAGAATTGGGGGTGGCTCTGGCCCTGGCCATGGTGGCGGCGTTCTGGGCTGGAGCGGCAGCACAGTCGTCGTCAAGCTGCACGAACGTGCTGATCAACCTGTCGCCGTGCCTGAATTATATCACCGGGAACTCATCAACTCCGTCCTCCAGTTGCTGCTCGGAGCTTGCCAATGTCGTGAAGTCGCAGCCTCAGTGCCTGTGTGAGGTCATCAATGGTGGTGGATCCTCCTTGGGGATCAATGTCAACCAGACCCAGGCTCTGGCTCTCCCTGGTGCTTGCAAGGTTCAGACCCCATCCATCAGCCGCTGCAATGGTAAGAGTGTTTTCTGAGTCCTGTTTCCCAAAAACAGATCAAATAAAGTTTTGATGCACAGACTCGTGGGGAATTGCACTGGGAAACAGTTTTTGGATTAATTTCGAAGAAAAAGTAATCTCATTTCATACTTGTTTAAAAGTTCAGTCCTATTATTATGTTTTTTTCATTCATTATTTCTTTGTATTTTTGCAAAAATCAATCAAAAACACTAAAAAACATTTCCATTTTCACATTCTGTTAATTTTCAACCAAAAATAGTTTCTAAGAATTTTAAATACACTTTGTTTTTGGTTTCTAAGAAGAAACTTTTTTTTTTTTCAAACAACAACAACTCTTGTTTTAGTTATTTTCAGAACATCAATGTTGTCTCTGTTCGGCTTTCAGGCTCTTGTTTCTACAACAGAAAACATTCATATTCCCATATCGGGTTCAATTTAGATCGAAAATTACTTTCTAGAATTTAGAAAAATTTCTTTCTACTAACTGGAAACAACTTTACATGAGCAGCTGCTTCCCCTGCCGACTCCCCTTCGGCAACACCTGAATCTCCAAACACGGTGCCATCAACAGGTACAGTTTTCTTTAATTATTTTGAAGCATAATTAATCATTCCATCAATAAGGATGTTTTACGTTTAAACAAATTGACATTCATGCGGGTGTTTAATTTGTTGCAGAAACAGGGTCTAAGACAGTACCGTCAACAGAGAGCGGCACATCAGATGCAAGTTCCACCAGGATGACAGTTTCTCTGCTATTCTTCCTCCTCTTCGTTGCCTCCTACGCTTCAACATCCACCACTTTTTGAGCATTATTATATCCATTTTTTTATCACTTGTTATTATTTTTTGTTGTACTTTTGTATTTATTATTTGAAGACCTCTTCCGGGGTTGATCATATGGTTTTGTATGACTGAAGAGACTTCTTGTTCTTGGTCTCTTCCCTTCTCAATAAAGACAGTTTCTCATTATGCCAATTGCAATCTTGAATTAAATTGGAACCAAAGAGAACAAATAAAAGAGATTATGATGAATACAAATACAAGAATAAACTTAACTAGTTTTGAAAACCCACATTTAATTACCAACAAACAATATGTTTACATAAAAGCCAATCCACCACCAAAATAAGCAATATTTAGTTCAACGGTGGTGGTCAGTTTGCAATTTTTAGTTCACTAGGGGGTCAGTTGAAAGAAGACTAAACATGACCATGTCCCTGGCTTTTCCCTTCTGAAAGAAGTACTTCCTCAAAACACCTTCCCTCACAAACCCAACCTTCTCCAGCACCCTCTGTGACCCCTTGTTATTTACATCCACAAGGGCTTCAAGCCTCTCCATGTGAGGCCACTCCAAAAAAATGCTAGAGGCTACCATCCTCACCGCCCGCGTAACGATTCCCTTGCCCCAATACTCCGATGCCAGGACGTAACCAAGCTCGCCCCGACACCTGTCGCCGCCCGTCCCGGGGGCGACGGAGATTGCCCCGACAGCTCGATTCCCGATGCAGATGGCGCGGAGCCAAGGGTGGGGGATCGCCACCTCGGCGATGTACTTGGCCGCCGCTTCCTTGGAGGCATAGGTGTCCCATGAGCAGAATTGCTCACTTTGTCATCTGTGGCCCAAACCATGAAATCATCGACGTCGGAGAGGTCGAACGGCCGGAGACTTATCTGGGAAAAAACATTGTCCGATTCTTCGTGGGAGTTCGAACTGATCAGGATTTCCTCCATTTTCTTTGAAATTGGTAAATTCAAAGAAGTATAAACGCAATTGAAAAGTGGGTTGGAGAATTCAGAGACGAAGTTGGGGATTGTCCGGGTTTATATATAACAGAAAGGCCGGAAGAAGGGATGAAACTGCTTTGGATTTGCAATGTTATTCAACGGATGATTCAACTCTGGATTGCTTTGACAAGAAATGGGTAAAAAAGTGGACCCACAGCTGACAAAAGGAGCCTTCTCAGAACGTCTCCATACATTTGTTAATATTTTTTTGTTAAAAAGAAATAGAAAAAAGACCTATTAGACCTTGCAGAAATCAACTATTTTCAGTCAAATACAATGATTATTCATCTTCCTGATCTTTTCCGTCCAAGTAGTCCTTCAACTCTATGAAGATTGGAAACTCAAGGCCTGATCAAGCAAATAACATATATCAAGGGATTGAATACCAAATTGATAAGGGAGTTTCCACCACCCACGAAATAAAAATATCATAAAGATGGAGGACTTCAAGTCCAAATTTTCAAAATTTTTTTGGTTTGAACATCCTTCCCAACTGGTCAAAGAGAGAGGCGGCTGGAACAGGCAGAATTGGGGGTTTTGCTCACAACTAATTTCTTTGGGACCAAGGATATTTGATGACTCGGGAACTGGAAATAAAACCAGATGCATATTTATTTGCTCATATGGAGGAGCTAAAGTCTCCTTAATCATTCAGCTCACTCTTATGCCCATTTGGAATTGAACCAAATTAAGCCTGAACCCACCTGAGATCTCCAATTTCCCGTGAATCTTAGTAATGGATCAGACTCGGATCTCTCTCCGGCCGTTCTCTCTCTCCGACGCCGATGACTTTCTCTCGTGGGCCGATGACGAGAGGGTGACACAGTTCCTAAGATGGGGCCCCGTCAAGTAAGTTGTATTTAGAATCAACAAAATTTACCATGTAATATTGTATTTATAATTGGGTCGATGTACGTCTATATTCATGACTCTTACTGTCACGCTACGATTAGATCTAGGGATGAGGCCCTCAAGTACCTCCAGGAGGTGGTTATACCCCATCCTTGGCGCCAGTCCATTTGCCTTGACAACCGGTCTATCGGGTACGTCTCAGTCCGGCCGGAGTCAGGCCATGACCGGCACCGCGCCCACATCAGCTATGCGGTTGGTGCTGACTACTGGGGACAGGGGATAGTGACTGCGGCGCTGAGGGTGGCCATCCCATTGGCGTTCAAGGAGTTCCCTTATTTGGTGAGGCTTGAAGCCCTGGTGGAGGAGCCCAACAAGGGGTCTCAGAGGGTGCTTGAGAAGGTGGGGTTTCAAAAGGAAGGGTTCTTGAGGAAGTACGGCGTCAACAAAGGTGAAATTAGAGATCTGATTATTTATAGTTTATTGTCAACGGATGAGATGGTGTGATTATTTTGGGAATTAATAAATAAATAATTAATTAAATTTCTCACCCGGGGGGGGGGGGGGTTGGTTTACAAGAGGGCCAGGCCCGGAAAAGGGAAATAAGAGTAGGTGTGTTAAAATCGAATCAGAGCGACTGGACTGAGCCAAATTGAACTAAACTGATCACAAATTGAAAGGAATATGTTTAATTCGGTTTTGAAGACTCCCAAACTGATCAGCTCAGTTCGGTTTCGATTTTGACCTAAAACAAAATCGAACCAAACCGAACCGATTTATTATATATTTATCTATGTATTTTTTTTCTTTTCTCTTTTGATAGTTAGAAATTATGTGTAGTATTTGTTCTCCATATTTCATATCACTCTATAATTTTATTGTAATTCAATTATTATATTTATTCATATGATTTTTTAATATAGCTTTTTTATTTTGTGAAATTTTCTTTTTTTTTTTATTTAAGCGTTGAGAAGTGGGCTTAAAATATTTAATGTGCTAGGTCTTATGAGAAGATATCATTTGTTATTATGCAAATACCATTTATCTTACATGCATTAACTATTTTACAAAATTTAAAAAAAAAAAAAATCAAGCATGTCAACCGAACCAAACCGAGCATGTTCGCTTTGGTTTGGTTCGGTTTTCTAGACAAACACAAAGCCCATCATGTCCAAAAAATCTTAAACCGAATATGTTCGGTTCGGTTTGAAAAGGTTCAAAATTGAACCGAACCGAATCTTTAAACACCCTTAAATAAAAGGGATTATACTACAAAATTCAAGAAAGTAAAGACTTCCATATAATCATGAAAAAGAAGACTTCTTATACAGTAGGAAGATACGTCGAATTTTTCAAACAAAACTTGTGAGATAAGTTAAAAGTAGCCATAAAATCAATGCCTCTATTAACTTCTCTCACTACATGCTTGACCTCCACCCTCCACTCTTGACATGAGATGTGCTTGATTCTTGCTAAATTGAAACCCATATAAAAGTAAATGTATACTTTCCTTTGAGCAAATCAACCAAAGATTTAGAATCCACTTCTAAAATAACTTTTCTACAACTCAGATTCCTAGGTCATTTTAAGACTTTCCCAGTCACTCTATGTTTCTACCACCTCTATAGCCATCACCTCTCTAATTTTTCTAGAGAAGCCTTTAATCCACTCTTTTTCATGATTCCTCAAAAGGCCCCAACATCCTTCAATCCTCTTTTTTAAATTTGCAACCCCATTTACATTCAGTTTGACCATCCCCTCGTTGGAGGGTCCACTTAACCCCAATCCTTTTAATGGAAGATAGGTGGGTTATTTGGTTCGACCCCATCCTTCTGCCAGCCATCTGCCACCACTTGATGACCTTACAAGAATCTAACGATCTTATAAAATTCTCATCGAAAATACCCTTATTCCTCAATTTCTAGAAACATCAAACAACAATTGTCCACAACTTAGGCCAGCCCTTGTCTCAAGTCCCTGAAAGATTAGCCAAACACCAATTTTTACTTTCCAGCATAACGAAAATAACTCTACAAACTGGAGGTACCAGCTTTAACCAGTTGTCCCACCCATTTTGCTGATCAGTTAGACCACCTTGCTGCCATCATTATATTTCAACCTTCTAGTTCTGTTATTATTTTGAATAATGGAAACATGTTACTAAAAGTATTTTTATTATCAATTTAAATTAAATTTAAAATTATTGTTGCCAAACTTTTTTAACAATGAGAGCTTATTTGTTAATATTTCTCAATTTTACTGAAACGGGATAATTATGTTGCAGTTTTGTTATTTTTACTTGTTTCCAGAACCTTTCTACCTATTTCTCTCAATACTCAATGTTTTTTCATTTTTCATTTTTTGAATAAATAAGAAAAGCAGTTTGCAGAAGTTATTTTTTCCCCCTTAAATATAAACATTATAAAAATGGAACTATATTTTATAACATGCTCCATGATTGTTGGTTTCTAGGAAATGGAAGATATGCTCACTGGGCTCTACATGAATTTCCTGGCCCGGTAAAGGGCCCAGCTATTACATACATGGCCCGAGTTTGTTGTCTTCTAGCCCATCATTCCTTGTATTTTTCTCCGAAGAAACCGGCCACATTGGTCCACGTCAATGACACAAATAAAACGTCTCTACTGTAAACCAATAAAAGATTAATGGATTACTTAAAGAATACTTAACTATATCCTTAATTTGAAAGACACTCTTCTATTTTCACTCAAATTAGTTAACAATTTTTTTAATTTTTATTAGATAAATATTAATTTAAAATATTAAATTAATTTTTTGTTATGCATATCATTTAAACATATTATATAAACATGCTTCATAAAATAGAATAAATTTCTTATCATTCAAAATTAAATTTTTCATTATAGTCCAAAAATATTAACATGTTACTTCATTTATTAAAAAAAATAAATGTTTTAAATTTCTTATTTTCAATTTTTATATTACTTGATTCATTATGAAAAATTTTTAAAATTTAAAATTAAAAAAAAAAAAACTTAATCTATTAAGAATTTGATTTTAAAATTTTCTTTAAAAAGTTAAATTTTTTTTATTTGGTACCCCTAAAAAAATTATTTGCAAATATAAAAAATTAAAAAAATTACTTCCTTTTCTTTTCTTTCTTCTTATCCGGGTTTTACAAATCTAAGGTGGTTATTGGGTAACATCAACTAGATTGTCGCCTTTAATCATTGACTAGTGTTCCATAATTACCATTGGAGGACATAAATTTTGCTTTGTCTAATTAGTGCCTTTCATTTCATCTATTCCTCCTTCATTATCCTACCCCCACTTTTATGGAATTAAATGTTTCATAATTATCCAAAAAAATATTCAATTATAAATTTTTTGACTTTTGTATTTTGAAAAAGCTCCAAAACAAATGAATTTTTAAAACTCATGGTATAGATTACTAATAGGATATATCAAACATTGCCTAGAAATTCAAAGATTAAATATTTATGTTTCTAGGTGTATATGTTTACAAATTTTCTTTTTTGAATTTAAAAGTCAAAAATTCAAAAACCAAATTACATTTTTGATATTCCTAGTTTTATTCAAGTTTTATTTTATTCCTTTTAGTCTCAATTATAACACATTTAATTTTAAAATTTGAAAAAACATTGATGTTCGATGCGAGGTATTTGTTAGCATTTTAGACAAAAATCTCAATTTTTCATACTCACGTCTTAGGGGGATATTTGGTTAACGCAAAAAAAGAAAAAAAAAAAGCTGACTTTTTGAGATTTTTAATTTTTAGCTCTTTAAGTTATGTATAAAAATGGAAATTTAAAAGAAAAAATGTCAATAACCAACTTTTGAAGAACTAATTTCACTAATTTTTTAGGTTCTTGATAATTTTTTATCTATTTTTTATTTTTCTGTAAACATTCAAGTAGAGCACGTTATAAGGAGAGAAAATTGGAAAAAATATTTTTATTTTATTTTAATATATTTGTATACAAATTTTATAAAATAATTGTAAAATATTTTGAAAGCAAAAAATATAAAAATATTTAGAAATTTTTGTCCATAATAATAAAATAAAAACCAAAAATACTTTAAAACTAAATATTCCTCTTTAGTTGCGTAGATTGCTGCGCGATTAGATATGTTCAACTAATCAAATCAAACTATTTAAATCGATTAAATTGTTATTTAATTTGGTTTATAAGGTAATTGTTTATTTAATTTGATTTAATATTTGATATTTAAATAAATTGTATAAATCAAATAAAATTATATAATATATAATTTATTTTTATTATTTGACTACATATTTATTCTTTCTATAATATTTTATATTTAAATTTTTTCTAATAAATAATTATTTTTAGAAAGTAATTTTTATTAGTATGATTCAATTTATATTATATTATATGACCATATTTATTATATAATGTCTAACTATTTTGATTAGTTAACAAATAATGAATTTATTAAATTAAATAAATTGAATAAAACTTTTAGATATCTAATTCATTTTATTTTTGTAAATTACAACCTATAGTTTAAAAGAAAAATAAATTATAAATTATAAACTATGATCTAATTTAATTTTTAAAAATTATAAATTATAAAATATGGATTGATTTGAATTTGAGTATTAAATTAAATAAAATGGAATTATGGATTCCCTAGCTAAGATTGTGTGTTTCTATAAAGATCTCAAAAATATTTTTTAAAAAAATTGTCTCTAAAATAAGGTTAAGGAGTCCATTTATAAGATATTTATAATTATTCTAATTTAAAAAATAAGTAACTTAAAATTAAATGAAATATATTTTTAAATCCTGAAAATAAATGTATGATAATTGAAGTTATTATTAAAATTATGAAAATTAAAATAAAATTTGAATGTTTCAGGAATCAATCCCATTTAGTTTTAGGAAATGTTTTTTGATTTTATTTTTATTTTCATTTTTAAAAATAATTTTTATTTTCAAATTTTAAGAAACATGTTTTGTTTGAATTTAATGTTTTCTATTTTCAAAAAATAGGTCAGATTTTTATTATTTAATTTCTATTTCCAATTCTAAAAATACTTAAAAAAGATTTTATATAAATCTTTAATTTTTAACAAAATTTTTTAAAAAATTAATAAAAATACAAATACAAATTAAACACATTTTTAACTTCATTTTTTTATTTTCATTAAAAATAATAACAAAAAACCAGATAAACCAAAAATGCCAATCTGCCACGTGCATCTCTTTTCTAACACGTCCCCTCTTCTCAAGTTTAGGAGGAGCGTTCTGTCATTTTACAGTTAAGTGGACAGGTCAAGGGCAATTATTACACAAGGCATTAAGGCGACACACGTGGACCCATGAAGTAAACTTCAAACTGATTGGATAAGTGGGACCCAACACACATTCATCAATGAAAGCAGACATATGAGGAGGTCGCCAAGGTTGTCCTACATTTGTTTTGCCACGTGGCACTAGGACAAATCAAAACTACGCCACCTGTCCCTCCTACGCATT